ATATTGAGAAAATCGCCTTTAAAGTTGTCCAAATTAAGTTCTTAGCCATGCATATTACTAATCAAAAATTAAGTTTTGATATATTTACAGTAGGAAATTTACAAAATATTTTCATGGAATATGATCTTTACTTCATATCCTAATGTTTTTCGGCATAAAAGAAAAATTGATAATTTTGACCCATACAATGTATTGTTGGCTATTGCTACAAATATACCCGTGCTACAGTACTTGTGAATGGTTTTGTGGTCCAGGGTCACAATTTCTTGTAAAAGACGCAGATTTGGCAACCCTTTGCCATGTCCACTTTTAGTAAGCGAGGCTTATTATAGTCTTCGGGTTTGATGTTTGGACTCGGCTCAAGAAACAATATATATTAGGGGTAATAAAGTGGGCAGGTGCAGGTTGCCATATTTTGTTATGTGTCTTTTGGATTTGAGTTTATTAATGGCTTGTTCTTATTTGTTTGTTTTTTTTCCTAGCAAGATCTGGCAACACTAATGAGTCAAAACTTACCCCTGTGATTTCTTGCACCGCACATACTGAAAAGACACAACTCTGATACGTGTTTAAATTGTTCAGTTCGGTTCCGTACACACTGTATAGAATCTCTCTAAATGTGGTTGTCACTACCTGCATTTTTTGGGAGTGAATTCGGCTGTAGAATGCAGTTTTTACTCCTGTAAATGACTGAACTGTGTGGGATCAGAGCAGGATTAAGCACTAAGAGGTGAATTGACAACTGAATTTAGCTGCAATGTGTGCATGGCCATAATGTGTTCCTGAGTGAAAAAACTGGGAACTTGATTTTACCAGTGACTTACCATTGACTTTATGAGACTAACCGGTCTCTGCTGTCCTCCAATGAGCAGGTGTGGTTTGATTATGTCATAACGCTCCAGCGTGTCGTGTTGATTCGGATAGGCAGCTGAAAAAAGAGAAAACAAGTATGGGCGATCTCCACAATAAAGCAAACCACCAAACTTTGGTCTAGACATTTCATTGACTGACGACATCGCCTAATCCTTTAAAGTTGTCCAAATTAAGTTCTTAGCCATGCATATTACTAATCAAAAATTAAGTTTTGATATATTTACAGTAGGAAATTTACAAAATATTTTCATGGAATATGATCTTTACTTCATATCCTAATGTTTTTCGGCATAAAAGAAAAATTGATAATTTTGACCCATACAATGTATTGTTGGCTATTGCTACAAATATACCCGTGCTACAGTACTTGTGAATGGTTTTGTGGTCCAGGGTCACAATTTCTTGTAAAAGACGCAGATTTGGCAACCCTTTGCCATGTCCACTTTTAGTAAGCGAGGCTTATTATAGTCTTCGGGTTTGATGTTTGGACTCGGCTCAAGAAACAATATATATTAGGGGTAATAAAGTGGGCAGGTGCAGGTTGCCATATTTTGTTATGTGTCTTTTGGATTTGAGTTTATTAATGGCTTGTTCTTATTTGTTTGTTTTTTTTCCTAGCAAGATCTGGCAACACTAATGAGTCAAAACTTACCCCTGTGATTTCTTGCACCGCACATACTGAAAAGACACAACTCTGATACGTGTTTAAATTGTTCAGTTCGGTTCCGTACACACTGTATAGAATCTCTCTAAATGTGGTTGTCACTACCTGCATTTTTTGGGAGTGAATTCGGCTGTAGAATGCAGTTTTTACTCCTGTAAATGACTGAACTGTGTGGGATCAGAGCAGGATTAAGCACTAAGAGGTGAATTGACAACTGAATTTAGCTGGACTCTGATACGTGTTTAAATTGTTCAGTTCGGTTCCGTACACACTGTATAGAATCTCTCTAAATGTGGTTGTCACTACCTGCATTTTTTGGGAGTGAATTCGGCTGTAGAATGCAGTTTTTACTCCTGTAAACGACTGAACTGTGTGGGATCAGAGCAGGATTAAGCACTAAGAGGTGAATTGACAACTGAATTTAGCTGCAATGTGTGCATGGCCATAATGTGTTCCTGAGTGAAAAAACTGGGAACTTGATTTTACCAGTGACTTACCATTGACTTTATGAGACTAACCGGTCTCTGCTGTCCTCCAATGAGCAGGTGTGGTTTGATTATGTCATAACGCTCCAGCGTGTCGTGTTGATTCGGATAGGCAGCTGAAAAAAGAGAAAACAAGTATGGGCGATCTCCACAATAAAGCAAACCACCAAACTTTGGTCTAGACATTTCATTGACTGACGACATCGCCTAATCACTGACTAACTGCTGAGCATTACTTATTTAAAATCACTCGCAGATAGTCTTTGTTCAATCCATGCTAATTATAAATCTCTTTGGTGTTAGCGTTTGCAGCCTGCTGCGGTGACGCCATGAACACAACATTGCTAATCAATGCTTTCAAACATCAGGTTTGTCCTGACAACAATCTCCCTGGAAACTATTTAATCTATTTCAGGCCTGATTTGATTTAGATCAGACCTCTATAATGACCTAATGATGATCTTTCCTGTGGCCTCTTCTGTCTCTACATGCTATAAAAGTAATATCATATGTACATATCACACATTCATATCAGCATATCTTAACCAGGCAGCCTCAGCAAAATTCAGAGAAACCACAAGACAACTTTTAATTAAAATAGGCCTAGTTGATAGTGTTATATTAAAATAAAAATGTAAACTGCCTGATTTGATTTAGATCAGACCTCTATAATGACCTAATGATGATCTTTCCTGTGGCCTCTTCTGTCTCTACATGCTATAAAAGTAATATCATATGTACATATCACACATTCATATCAGCATATCTCAACCAGGCAGCCTCAGCAAAATTCAGAGAAACCACAAGACAACTTTTAATTAAAATAGGCCTAGTTGAAAGTGTTATATTAAAATAAAAATGTAAACTGACATCATATTTCTCACTCAAATGAAAATGCATCACTGATCTCTGAATTTCTCTCACACAATAGAGGTCTTTTTTAAATTTATGAACTATAATAATATATATTTTTTGGAAATTAGAAATAATAATAAAATAAAATCGTTACTTATTAAATAATAAAAATATTCATGCATAATTTATTTATAAAAACATTTTATTTTATTTATCTTTATTTTATTATTTATTTGTAATTTTCATGGTTAATTTCTTATGGCAGCACAGCTCACTAAAATTAAAAAAATTTAAACGTAGCTCGCTGGAAATTATAAATATGAATAAAATAAAAATAAAACAAAACATTTATTTAATAAATAATACAAATGTGTACATATATATTTTAATAATTTATATATTTAAAAACATAATTAATTATATATAATTTTCCTAGTTTCCTATGCCAGCACAGTAGCTCACTAAAAATAGCTCACTTTAAAAAAATTAGCTCCCTGGACAAGACAAGGACAAGGACAAGG